TTGAACCAGAAATAAGCTGGTATGCTCAACGTAAGAAAGGAGACTGATGGCTAACTTTGTGAGGTAACATTATCTGTTTGCGCTGGTTCATACACAGATAATGACTGATAAAACAGTTTTTACTAGCGGACAACTACAGTGGATACTGTAACATTCGTTAAATTTACTTAATTGACGATGTTATGTCCTCAAAATGCCTTGAAGACTCAAATGCAGCCAAGTTTGTGATTCCAAATCGTGCCGGCGATCATACGCGTGTGACGTGCGGATGCCAATGCGGGAGAGGTGCGTCTGACTCCGGGCTACGTTTACACTGCTGCTGCGGGTTATTATTCAAGTTAGCGGTTCTAAATACAAATAAATAAGCGCTAACAGCACATGACATCGTGAAAATCGAGGGAAATATTAACAGTTGGCAAAACATCTACAGAAAAAATATAACTGTTACCGGATTAACCTGACTGCCTTCTCACTAGACCCTTTGCAGCACAGTTAATGATATGCTAAGGATAGGATCCCTTGACTCAATTGGTTATTGAGTTTTGTGACGTAGCAAAACAAAGGCTGTTTCAAACCGCGTTTCTGTGACTGCCTTTGGGAAACTACAGTTTTAAGGAGAAAATACTCAGCAATGGTGTTGATAAATGGATTGACACATGGTTTGTCTAAAAGCATATTAAAAACAACACAGACAAATAAACAACATAAAAAACTTGATTTTCACCACAGGGGGACTTTAAGGGTTCAGTAAATAATTATGATGTTATCGTTTAATCTTTTTGAGTTATTATTTTGCAGTGTAAGATTACATCGAGTATTCCAAATTCTAAGAATCGGCCAATACCGATCCAACACCAGCTCTATTTTTTTTCTACACCACTACAGAATATCAATACTGTCTTTGTGGAACTAATGGTCACTCTTTTTTTTTTTTAAACCCTTTGTTAAACACAATCCACTAAATACTCACTTCCTCATTAAAGAGAAAAACTACTTTTGAATAAAAATATATAAGCTATGAAATTAAACTAGCTGTCTGTATAATTTAGCAGCAAAAACAATATCTTGAAAAACAATGTTTTATGCACATTATACAATTTAAACATGTTTGTTCTGTTAACTATTTGTATTCTTACAAAATACATTCATGAGAAAAAGAAAGGCTTCTAATAATCTTTCTGTGTGCAAAATTTTGATATTGTAAAACTTCAAACAGAGCAGCACAAAGCTCTTATGCACATCTAGGGTGCAGAATGATGTGCTTGAAGCAACATGCACTCCACAAATACAAACAAAGAGAAGAAAAATGTAGGGCCCTATGAAATCAGTTTTATTTTTTTCCAAATTCCGTTTTTTCCATTTAAATTTTTCTTGACTCCTTTTAAATAGTGAAATTAAATTGTATTAATAAAAAAGCATGTCTAATTAATTAAAATCATGACACTTATACATTTTCACATCAATTTATTAAAAGTTTAACAAAAATTACATGTTTGGGGCCCTATGAAATTTTTATTTTTTCTCACCATATTTTTTATTGTTACCAAATTCTGTGTTTTAGCATGTCTGATTATTTGAATGCATAAAACAACTTAATTTATTCATTTTTTTCTTAAAGTAGCCTTATGAATTTTTTCCCCTCAGAAATTCTGTGTTATGTATTTACATTTTTCTGGTTATCAAATGAAGGCATAAAAAATTCATTTAATTGATCTTTTAATTATTGAAATTTAAGCAAACTTTATTTTTTGGCAAACAAAGGGGATTTACTATTAAAATTAAAACATGGAAGAAATGTGTGATTATTCCTTTAAAAAATAAGTAGTCCGCATCGCGCCCTAGAAACGAGTCATGAACTCCAGCAAGATGTCATTTTATGCGAATCCCCAGACCTTTATCTACACATCAAGTATTATAATGGGAATATATATTTAATCTTGGAGAGAGAGTTTTACTGTGCTGACTGTCATAACTGAACTTGACGTGCTGTTTGAATGCTGAGCGGAAAATAACTGACAGCTGCAGCAGAAGGAAGATGAGTTTCTGTAAACTTAAATTTAACACTGTAAATACAATTCCGTCCCTCACATTAAGCTATGGAATAGCTTCAGATGATATAGGCTATACAGTGCATGAAAAGCAAACTGGTGCTTTTCTGTTTCTTTTTTTGTATGACTCCCCCTTGTGCCATATAAAAAGCACAATAATCGCGGTTGTCTGAAACAACGGTTAGATCAAATAATCGCGATTAGACGGTTATTTAATTATCGCAACAGGCCTAATTGTAAATACATAATACATGAGTGGCTAATTAGAGCCTGGAGTGTCTGCTAGAAGATACTAAAGTCATGCTAACTCCATGTCTGCATGAATAAGATGAAATCAGGACAAGATGTTCTCAGAACAAACCCACATCTCATAATGTTCATTAACTTCACCGTTCCAAGCCATAAAAACAGCGAATGGTGCATCAACTTGTGCACTATAACCTTTAATCCCAATTACTGTCACCTTCAGTAAGCTAATTATATCATTAGCACTAATAAACTTGCTCACCTCTTTTGCAATTATGCTGATTGCAAAGCAAAGATGAAAGCAGTTGAGATTTCTTTACATTAGAACAAGAGTATGTTATTAGTGGTGGTTAAGGCAAGGATCAGTATTACTTATACATTGGTTAGGGAATTTAAACTCTCCCTCACTTCTTGTGCTACTGCCATGATTGATACCTCAAATTGTGTGGCTCGTTTAGGAGAGGTGCTGTTACTAACAACCTGATTTCAGAGTTTTCTATTTAAATAGTTTTAAAAAATGTTTAACGGTTCTAAGAAAATTTAGATCGCAAAACTACTTTGCGTAAATATAAAAATAATGATTTATTAGGACTAATGTATTACACCATTTATAATAATAATAATAAATGGCTTTATTTTAATTTATTTTATTTTACTATTATTAGTATTAATTATAATAATTCATAATGCATTGTTGTTTAATGATTTTTAGTTGTCACTTGTCAAAAATAAAACCGAAAAATGGTTCTAAGAAAATTGATTGCGAAACTACTTTGCATAGATATGACAAAAATAATTTATTATGAATAATCTATTCAACTTTATTTATTATTATTTTTATTATTGTTATAAATTCATAATGCATTGTTTTTATTGTACTTTAATGTTTTATTTTTTTTAGTTATGCCATGTCTGTCAAAAATAAAACTATAATTAAACTATCAGTTCCTAAAATTGGTTATCAGAACACTATAAATTAGCTAACATAAAAATTTGGTAAGGTTATTGGTGATAATTAATAAAACTAATTATTGTTTTTTTTTTTTTTAAGTATTCTCTACTAACAATGCCCTGGAAACTACTCCCAGCACTCTAGCATTATGGGAGCAAGTTTTGAATGGATAAGACAATCAAACCACTCATATTTAGAATGTGTGCAAATCAAATTATTGCTTTGATTCTTTTTCTTTCAGCCAGTGAGATGTCAGTGTCATCAGCAGAAGTCAGGGGTCAAAGGTGAGAGAAGAACTCATCATGATAAATCCACTCAGACGGTGTGGCGCCCGCCCCATCATCACCCTGCTGTGAGTCATTTCTCGCTATCTGGCTAGCAACGTGCATGTCAACTTGATCACATCATCAAGGCACCCAAAACTCTCCCAAAATGTCAGTGTAGTGAGACGAGTGTATCTATGTGTGTCCTTGGTGAGCTGTCTGCCTCGTTTTCATTTCCTGTTTCCCTCTAAACCTCTCTAGGCTTTATAGGTGGCTAGTTGTTTACAAAAGGGAGAAGCAAATGTGTTGTCAGGGCTGACAAATCAGACAACACATTCCTTCTGTTCTTTTCCTCTCCTCCATCCTTTCCTCCCTCGCATTCATTTTTCGTGTTGAAATAGCCCGACGGTCTCGCGGGATGCACTGAGCTGAGGCTAGTTTGCCGAGGTGCCGATTTGGCCAATTTGCAGCTGCTAGGGGAAACCGGGCATCTACTACAGAGTGCAGAATGATTGTCATCTCCTATTTAAGTGAAGCCGTGCTGCGCTTACTCCAGTGGTTTAGCTTTCAGAGCCCCAGCCTGGGAAGTTCACCAGGGGACGTGTTCTTATTGAGGACCGGCACACAATCAGTAAAGCTAACGGCACAAGATGAAAGCTGAAATCAGGAGAGGTTATGGGGAGGAGAGAGAGTTGAGGGAGGTAACAAGAGATGGATGAGAATTTAGAAGTGGAAATGAGGAAGAGAAATAAACAGTTATTGGGGATTGGAGATAACAGGACAACTTGTGTTCAGTTTGTGTTCACTATTCGGCCTTGGTCTTGTGTGCTTGCTTCAGAAGATCCTTCATATATTCATATATTCAGTTACCCAATTTTTGTCACGTATACTTGGACAGACAGATGAACACTGTAGCTCGATTAAAGGGGTGGTTGATTGCGATTTCACTTTTTTAATGTTAGTTAGTGTGTAATGTTGCAGTTTGAGCATAAACAATATCTGCAAAGTTAAGAAGCAAGGATGACCTCTCGCGATTGCCTCTCCTGCGCAGAGCCAATCGAACCTTCTGATGGCCATCATCTTGGCCATCGTCCAAGGTGATGAACTCTCCCAACAAGCCCTGCCGTGCTCTTACTCTACAGCCTCTTTCGAGCCGAGGAGGAAAGTGCCTCGAGCTTCTGATATGGATCTGTCAGGGTCAGGCCAGTATTTTGACTGGTCCACTTTACAGCTTTATTATGGCCAGGAACAACCCACTTAGACAGGAAGAAACGTGCTCTTATGTGCTGTTTAGAGGTGGGTGAATCTGAAATCGGTCATACCATAATAAAAAACAGCAGTCTCTATGAATGGTTCTGTCCATCAAAAAGCACAGATAGTTTCACTGTCATGAGTTAAAAGCAAGCCAAATATACAGTTGTGCTGATGAATATCCCATTTACTTGTTGTTTAGTCAAAGCCAAATATTGTTCTTTGCCCTGCTGTGCTCTTCCTCTACAGCCTCTTTCGAGCCGATGAGGAAAGTGCCACGAGCTTCTGATGTGGATCGGTCAGGTGACAAGCTCACTTTGCCTCAGTGCCCACACTCCCCTCACCCCCTGCTGCAGGTTCCTTTCCAGTGCACTTCATGACTGCTGATCTTCGTCCCTCTCCTGACGTGCAATATGTGGTGTCCTTCGGCACTATAGAGGGCACTTGAGGATGAGGAAGATGCTATTTCGGTGACAGCGTCTGCGAAGGATGAGTGGTCCAACAGTCCGCTGGATTATACTACGCCCCACGACAGCAACGCAGGGGACCTCCATCATAGTAATGTAGAGCTCCTACACATCCTGTCCAAGGCAGTTGATGAGCTCGGTTTAGAGTGGGCGCCTCCTGCCAAGCCAGCCAGAAGCTGTCTGAACGAATGGTACCTCAAGTAGCACCACAGCCGGAAGGACACTTTGCGGAGACCCGGACCCTTTTTCATCCAAGGTGCACGATGAAATATCAAATTCTTGGAACGCACTGCTCACCAGTCGAGTGCACAATCAGGGATCCTCTCTCCTTTCTTCTGTGGATGGCTCTGACCAATTGGGGTAAGTTAAACTCCCCATTAGTGGAAGAAGCCATTGCTGCCCATCTCTGTCCGGCAGCCGCATTTAACTTTTCCGGGAAGGCTTTCTCTGCAGCGTGCAAAGCATCTTCAGCACTGCATGTGATGGCAATCCTCGAGGTCTATCAGGCTAAACTGCTCAAGGCGGGCTGGACCCTGAGGTTTTCAAAGAGCTCCGACGTGCCATGGATCTGGCCCTTAGAGTGACGAAGGTGACAGCTCGAGCGATTGACTGGGAAACATGGGAAATCTTGTGGTGCTAGATCGTCACCTGTGGCTTACTCAGAGTTAAAAGACTCAAATAAAATGGCTCATCTGGATGCACCCGTGAACCCCTCATGGCGGCGTTGTAGACTTTCACGGAGAGCTTTTTGTTGAAGTGCAAAAACAGTAGAAAGCCATTAGCCACTTCTTTCCAAAGCATATCGCTACATGCTTCAGTTCTTCTGCAGTACCGGGCCCATTTCAACGGTGTGTTAATGTCCACTGTACGGGAGCAGAATGCCTCAGTTCTGCAAGAGGAAATACACAACCTACTTGCAAAAAGTGCTGAAGAGACAGTGCCCCTTGCAGATCGCGAGAGTGGCTTCTACAGTCGTTATTTTCTGGTACCAAAGAAAGATGGCGGACTCCGCCCATTCGTTTAGACAGGAAGAAACGTGCTCTTATGTGCTGTTTAGAGGTGGGTGAATCTGAAATCGGTCATACCATAATAAAAAACAGCAGTCTCTATGAATGGTTCTGTCCATCAAAAAGCACAGATAGTTTCACTGTCATGAGTTAAAAGCAAGCCAAATATACAGTTGTGCTGATGAATATCCCATTTACTTGTTGTTTAGTCAAAGCCAAATATTGTTCTTTGCCCTGCTGTGCTCTTCCTCTACAGCCTCTTTCGAGCCGATGAGGAAAGTGCCACGAGCTTCTGATGTGGATCGGTCAGGTGACAAGCTCACTTTGCCTCAGTGCCCACACTCCCCTCACCCCCTGCTGCAGGTTCCTTTCCAGTGCACTTCATGACTGCTGATCTTCGTCCCTCTCCTGACGTGCAATATGTGGTGTCCTTCGGCACTATAGAGGGCACTTGAGGATGAGGAAGATGCTATTTCGGTGACAGCGTCTGCGAAGGATGAGTGGTCCAACAGTCCGCTGGATTATACTACGCCCCACGACAGCAACGCAGGGGACCTCCATCATAGTAATGTAGAGCTCCTACACATCCTGTCCAAGGCAGTTGATGAGCTCGGTTTAGAGTGGGCGCCTCCTGCCAAGCCAGCCAGAAGCTGTCTGAACGAATGGTACCTCAAGTAGCACCACAGCCGGAAGGACACTTTGCGGAGACCCGGACCCTTTTTCATCCAAGGTGCACGATGAAATATCAAATTCTTGGAACGCACTGCTCACCAGTCGAGTGCACAATCAGGGATCCTCTCTCCTTTCTTCTGTGGATGGCTCTGACCAATTGGGGTAAGTTAAACTCCCCATTAGTGGAAGAAGCCATTGCTGCCCATCTCTGTCCGGCAGCCGCATTTAACTTTTCCGGGAAGGCTTTCTCTGCAGCGTGCAAAGCATCTTCAGCACTGCATGTGATGGCAATCCTCGAGGTCTATCAGGCTAAACTGCTCAAGGCGGGCTGGACCCTGAGGTTTTCAAAGAGCTCCGACGTGCCATGGATCTGGCCCTTAGAGTGACGAAGGTGACAGCTCGAGCGATTGACTGGGAAACATGGGAAATCTTGTGGTGCTAGATCGTCACCTGTGGCTTACTCAGAGTTAAAAGACTCAAATAAAATGGCTCATCTGGATGCACCCGTGAACCCCTCATGGCGGCGTTGTAGACTTTCACGGAGAGCTTTTTGTTGAAGTGCAAAAACAGTAGAAAGCCATTAGCCACTTCTTTCCAAAGCATATCGCTACATGCTTCAGTTCTTCTGCAGTACCGGGCCCATTTCAACGGTGTGTTAATGTCCACTGTACGGGAGCAGAATGCCTCAGTTCTGCAAGAGGAAATACACAACCTACTTGCAAAAAGTGCTGAAGAGACAGTGCCCCTTGCAGATCGCGAGAGTGGCTTCTACAGTCGTTATTTTCTGGTACCAAAGAAAGATGGCGGACTCCGCCCATTCGTGGATCTTGAGACATGATTTCGTTGAAATTAACAAACTTCAACTGATTTATATGTGATGACGCCGGTGCTATTTCACATCACCAGTGTTTCCCCCCCCCCCCCACCTTGACATGGTTTCGACCAGGTCCTGTAGACTGGGCTGTGTGTTTACCAAGAGCACCAATATCATTGCCACTCTCATTATGACTCCGTATGTAAAACTTGACATACTTAGTCGAGCCAGGATCCGTCATTGTAACATGGCGTGATTTTAATCGTTCCCCATAAGCATTAGAAAATGCAATGTCAAAGTTATGAATTGTAAGGGAGCATCTCTGGTTACTCCCGTAACCTCGGTTCCCTGAGATGAGGGAACCAGACATTGCACTTACTGCCATGTCACCTAGGTCAGGATCTAATAATTCCAAGTTGCTTCAGTCAAGATTCTGAATGGATGACGTCCAAGTGTTGCCTTATATAAAGAGAGAAGCCCCTCATATTTCGTGCACTTGAATGCCATTGGCCAGTGTTACTGGTGTGATTCAATAAGGCTTCAGTAGTATTTGGAGGAAGGGGTTTCCCCATAAGCATTAGCAAATGCAATGTCTCAGGGAACCGAGATTACGTGATTAACCGGAGACATTTTGTTTGCCTTTATCTCTCTGCATTTTCCCAATGGTGCCCCTAAACTGTATGCAGTAAATTTTGTAAAGTAAAATTTCATGATAAGGTTTAGGAACATTACGGTTAAGCTTGACAAAATATTAGATGTAGCTAAAGATACATATACATGTTTAAGAACAGATCTAATCTCAGAAATCTCCCCAGTGCATGTGCATTTTACACGCATATATAGGATATATCTATGAGATCTATATGTGGTAAGCTAGGAATATTGCATGCACATATTGTGTTATGGCTCTCTAGCATGCTTTCATTTCACTGATATTTCAGTTTAATGTTCAGATATTCATGGTAGTTTGTCTTCATAGAGGAAATGTGTACCGTTTCTCTCTGCGATGTGAGTTTTTCTTTCTAAACTGTTTTGTCTAGATTCACTGGGGGTTGTCTCTCTGCAGCTGTGCGGGTGTTGTGTGTGTGTGTGTGTCACCGTTTTTCTGTGTGTTGCAGGCTGTACCCACTCCTCTCCTCTCTCCCTGGCAGTGCCAGTACCAGATTGCACCTCGTGCCAGCATGCCTCAACGCCGGCAATGTGAGTCATTAACCCCTGACCTCTGATGCCATTCCCTTGGCAAAATGTTCTGCTTTCTTTCTGTCATCCTTTGTTTCTTTCTCTGCTCTTTCCTTCCTTTCTCTTTCATATATGGTCTCCCTATAGGTTTATGGTTTATATATATACAGTGTATGTATATATATATATATATATATATATATATATATATATATATATATACACACAATATAGTTACACCAGGCAGTGAGTCAGGGCTGTATAAATAGGATATTAGTGTAATGAGAGAGAGAGAGGAGGAGGAGATGTGGTGTGAGACAGATGAAAGTGGAAGCGGTTTAAGAGGGTTAGACAAAGTCAGCAGATGCCCGCTGGGCAGTTTTGAAGTGTCTCTGTCAGGTCTAGGTGGGTCACTGCACTGGTTGAATCACACCATCCGTTCCACAGTGTGTTTGTGTGGATGGCTGTGCTGTGCCCTGTCTTCAGGTGTGTTTGTGCAGGGATTTTGGATACACATTGCTGTGCATCAGTGCGGTCAGTCGAAGAGCCAACATTTGTTGTCTGAAACAGCATGAACACATGCAGGTTTAATAGATTGTGTGTGTGAGAGGGAGAGAGATATAGGAGTAATAGGATTCACTATAAAAGAAGAGCATTTTTATGTCTGCAGTTAAATTATTTTACATTTACTTTGGCAAAATTAAATGTTATGAATATTGTTCTGAATATAATTAATAATGGACAAACAGGTAGCTCTGTCTCAAACTCATCCCATTGACTGAGCTAGAAGTTGGCATGTCAGATCAAACAAACAGAGCTGCAAAACCATAGGAAATTCAACCTACAAATGGCTATAATTGGTTATAGTTGTCTGCATATTAACCTAGAATGGGTGTGGAAACCGGTTTTTAATAAAATAATAAATCTGATGTTGTGAGAGATGAAATTACATTGTGATTATGAAAAATAAGTATAAGATATATATATACTACTGTTCAAAGGTATGAAGTTAGCATGAATCAAACGTATCACGGTTTCCACAAAAACAATAAGCAGCACAAGGTTTTTTATTTTTTTCACAAATATTTCCTGAGGATCAAATTAACACATAAGAATGATTTCTAAAAGATCATGTGACACTAAAGACTGCTTTAAAAATTCTTATTGACCCCAAACTTTTCAATGGTAGTGTATATAATAATAAAATTGTGATGATAAACTATTGTATTAAATAATTATTTTTATTTTAGAGGTGGAAAATGAGCTTCCATAGATTAGAGAATGTATATTACTTTGGGGGGGGGGGGGGGGCAATTAACGCTTTAAAGGATTTGACTCCTTTCCAGAATTTTAAAGGGATAGTTCACCCAAAATTAAAATTACTTACCCTCATGTCGTTCCAAACCCGTAAGACCTCCGTTCATCTTCTGAACACAAATTAAGATATTTTTGATGGAATCTGACAGCTCTCTGACCCTCCCATAGACAGCAAGGGTACTACCGCGATCAACGTCCAGAAACGTAGCAAGGAGATCGGTAAAATAATCCATGTGACATCAGGGGTTCAACTGTAATTTTATGAAGCTACGAGAATACTTTTTGTGCGCAAAAGAAAAAAAATAATGACTTTATTCAACAATTCGTCTCCTCCGCGTCACCCTGTAGCGCCATTTTGGAGAGTATACACTGAACGCAAACAACGTATGTTGTTCTGTGTCAGCCGCACCACACGGATTCCACAACTTGTCCGAACTGATGTCACATGGATTATTTTACCGATCTCCTTGCTACGTTTCTGGACGTTGATCGTGGTAGTACCCTTGCTGTCTATGGGAGGGTCAGAGAGCTGTCAGATTCCATCAAAAATATCTTAATTTGTGTTCCGAAGATGAACGGAGGTCTTACGGGTTTGGAACGACACAAGGGTGAGTAATTCATGACAGAATTTACATTTTTGGGTGAACTAATCCTTTAAGTCCACATGAATTAACTTAAAACTTGTTGCTATACCAATATTTTTAGCAACAATTTTTACAGTAAATTTCAGTAAGGTTCAATTTGCAATAAATTGAAGATAGTGTAACCGTGTTTGCACACAGTAAATTATTCAGTTGTATTGTCCTTACTATGCTGTATCACAACTTTTTTAAGCCCATTGCAGTGGAGGATTCAAGCATACACTCTTAAAAATAAAGGTTCTTCACGATGCCATAGAAGAACCTTTTTGTCTAAATGGTTCCATAAAGAACCTTTAACATCTGAAGAACCTTTCTGTTTCACAAAAGGTTCTTTGGGGCGAAAGAAGGTTCTTCAGATTATACAAAGGTAAGAAAGAGATGGTTCTTTAAAGAACCTTTGCCTGAATGGTTCTTTGTGGAACCAAAAATGGTTCTTCTATGGCATCGCTTGAAGAACCTTTTGAAGCACCTTTATTTTTAAGAGTGTATATCATGAAAAATAGGTGAGGACAGCAGTAATATAGTTTTGTAGTAATTTAATTTAGCAGGAAGAAAGCTGTGATCATTTTAGAGAATGTCATAGATTGTAAACATGGCTGTAGTTCAGGTAGAGCAGATGTCAGATTGTTTGGTGTCTTCCTTAATAGATCTGACCCTCTTCCTTTCTTTTTTACTCCACTGTTCTTTCTGGTCTGTCTTCTTCTTCTTCCCATGTTCTCCTCTGTCTTTTCCTTTTCTCTTTCCTCTTCCTATTTCCTGATTGGATGAACTTGTGCTCTGTGTTGTTTCTCCCCCTCTGCCTATCCCATAATACTCCGGGACAGGGGTGGAGCATCTTATACATTACTTCCATGACACAGCGTGGTACAGTAACCTCTACTAAAAGCTTCAGCCTTTGCATGGTCACGTGACGTGAATGACCGATGCATGCTTTTTTGAGTCTGATTTTTATTTTTGAAGCATGGATATTCAGTTTTTTTTTTCTTCAAACATTCACAAAATACAGTTGGCATGAGACTTTTTTTCCTCTTTTTTTTTCATGACTTTTTTTGCCCAAACCACCTATATGAAGTCCTAATGTTTCTGCTCCTCTCTTCATCCGTGGGCTGTGATTGCTGTGGTTGTGTCAGATCTGTCTTTGCTTTGATGGAGCTACAGTGTTTACTGGTGTGTTCTGGGAGACCCACCATCTCTCTCTCAGCCTGCTCCTAGAGACTTTATCCAAAAAGTCATCTGTCTGCACAGGTGAACCAGGGTTTAAATATCTCAAACATACACACAAGCAATGAATTAGCCCATAGTGCAATTGTCCTTGGTCTTGTGACTGCACAGGGAGACGCTGAAACGTTTTAGAGGGCAATTAAAATAAAATTATCCAATATCTCCCTCAGGATTCACATTATAACCTCCACTTCTACAAACCCAGGATATTAAAAACTCTTCTATTATCAAAATGGCCACATTTCATCGGCCAAATCTTGCAGTAAGACGAATGACTGAATTAAAGCCAGACTTTATTACAGCTCTCTCTGTTGTAATATCCAGCAATCGTGTAACAAAATGATCTTGTGAAACATTTTGGAGGCAGTTGATTTGCCCTGCTCTTCTTTGAAATCTGGATGCTTTTTTAGGGCTCAACGATAAAGGATGTTTCTCTTCTAGGCCAAACAGGCCAATACTTCAGATTTGAATAGACACCACCACAAAAAAACATAAACAACAAAACTATAAAATTATTTTAATTACTTTAAAATATTTTTTTTAATTATTAATTGCTTCACAAAAAAAAGATTTTATTTTAATTAATAAGGTTTTCTTTACCAATAAATAAATGCAATTATAATTTGCAACACTAGCTGGAAATTATGCAACTATTACTATGTGAAAGCTAAGAATTCATATTCTTTTTCTAAACAATTCTAAAACAATGGCATAAAGTGCAAAGCATTACTGATTTGTGATAGTCTTGGCACATCCTCATCTATTATCTAAACTTTTCCTTTCAGACATACTAATCAGCAGAATTCAAAAATTGTTCAATACATCAAACAAAGCCATTTGAACACAACATATGTTAACTATTAACATAAGTATAGTGACAACTCTGCATTGGTCTGCTCAGCCATGCTTAATATTGAGCCCTGCTCTGTAAAGACTCAATCTATAACCTGGTCCTCATTCTACTGGAAATATATCAGATACTTCAGGTACTTATACAGAAACCCCTTCTTCTGTTTGCGTAGTTGTTTTTCATTTTACTGTCTTGTTGCTGTTGTTTGTTTAGTGCTGCATGATTCCTTTGTTTTTATGATGTTAGTATTGTATTATGTAACCGATATTTTTAACTCTAAATTTAACTAAATTCTAATTAAATGAGCCTTGTTTGAAGACAATATAAAAACACCTGTGATGAATTCTATATTAAAGTTGCCATGTTGCTTGGCAACCCCAAAACTGCCTAGAGTCAGTATAATGAACTATATTTCTGGGCACAAGAATTGTTTATCATGTGCAAATTGTTTATTGAACATTGTTATCATTTATCATAATGCTGTTGCTGCCATTTTATAAAAGCAATAAGGCTGTGGGGCTGTTCATTACAGCAATTTTACCACAGTTATGGGTATTTTAGGTATTCATCTTTGCATTATGCTTAAAACCATATCTTAACCATAGTAAAATTACTGTAAAAAGTGGCCTTGAGTGTCTTATTGCTTCTTTTAATGAAAGTGTAGAAACAGCATTATGACAACAAGCTAAGATGATAACAGTACACCAATGTTCAATAAATATTTTACACACTAAAACAATTTATCCGCTATTTTTTACGGGAATGTCATCCTGAGAACTGGGGTTTTCACCAATAAAGCAAGACATTAATATTAATTGGATGGGCAACTTGACTGAAGCAAATCAATTATTGGTGTAAACAGCTTATTAATACCTGTTTTAATCATTTAATTCCTTTAATGATTCTGAAAGCATTGTTGAAAACAGTGAATGCACTATGGATGTGTTCTCTGCAGGTGTCCTTACACGCGTCTGCACCCCTGAGTCTTTGTGATGTCACATAGATGCGTGACCGTCTGTACCTCACAATACTAAATTCGCTGACAAACCTCCTGCACACAAACTCTCATACACATGCTTTTATCCCCTTGTACCTGCACTGTACTCTTGTTCAGTGTTCTTTAAGTGAGGAACGACCATGTTGTTTTTTTGCGCTCTCTAATGGTAATGCTTTACATCTCTCTCATTCTGATATTTTCTCAGCCCTGTGTGGTCGGGCATGTGATAAAATCGTTTTGTGATGGTATCTGGAGATAATACAAATCTTACAAATGGTCTCCGGCTGATTAGAAATGTGGTGGGCTGCATGAAATCACTGTTAGCCAGTAGGGGGTGCTGTGGTTTCAGTACAGCTGTGCTCTTTTGCAGCCCATGAGAAACAAAGAGTGAATGAGGAGGAAACAAGGACTTACGCCACTGTCATGGTGTACAGTTGTCTTCATTGAAACTCACCTGCATACATGCTCATCCACCCAAAACATTTCGGTAACACTTTAGAATAATGGTCCGTTGTTAACAAGTAACTATGCAGTTAACAACAACTTCCTGCATAGTTACTTGTTAACAATGGACCATTATTCTAAAGTGTTACCAACAATTGGTTTGCAACTCAACGGCCAACTGACCAATTCTCACTATTAACAAGTTGCTTATTAGCATGCATATTACTTTATATTGGCTGTTTATTAGTACTTATGAAGCACATATTAATGCCTTATTCTGCATGACCATTTTTTTAGATGCCTTAAATCTTACCCCATCCCTAAACACGACAACTACCTTACCAACTATTAATAAGCAGCAAATTAGTAGTTTATTGAAGCAGTAGTTGTAGTTAATTGTTACAGTTGTTAATAGTGAGAATTGGTCCCCAATGTTACGCCCCTTACCATACTGTGATGCCGTGTGTGTGACGGTGATGCGTGTGCGCCTGTGATGCGCTACGAGACAACCAGTAAAACCCATTATAAATGAGGCATTTGTTGCATCCAGTGGGGACATAATTACTGATTATAATGACATATACTGTCTTTTTACGCGTTGCGTATCGCGCTGCGTAAACATAAAACCATGTCTGCATTTGTGATCGGAGAAACGACAAACAACAAGCGCTACTCTACACTGCTCAAAACTCGTGTTTGAATCGTCAGTGGCAAATTCTTTAAATATAAAAAATGTACTTACAGGCTGTGAGTCATGAAGCGCCAGGCTGTCCTTGCAAAGTTGGAATTGCCCCACTTTATAGAAACAGACAACGGCATTGTTGGCTATACTCTCCCAGGAAACAGTCCTCGTCCTTCATAAAATGCGCATGGTTGACTCTTAACTTTTATAAAGAATATCTCTTTGGATTTGAGACTTTAGTCTTTGCAACTTTACAGATCTTCTTTATGCACCAAGAGCTTGTAACACTCCACAGAGAAAGGAAAAATTGAAATCGCATCATATGACCCCTTTAAAATGTCCGTTTAATTAATTTATTTGGATTCTAGTTAATTTTAAAGGTGGGGTAAGCGATTTCTGGTAGCCAATGTTGACATTTGAAATCACCAAAACAAACACGCCCCTACCCCAAAAGGGTCTCGCCCCTATTTTGATAGCTCCGCCCCACACATACGTACGCAACCCAGGCAACAATTAGTTCTGTGAAAAAAAGCAAAACCAATGTTACACCGTGTCTACACTGGATGCGAGTGGCATGGCGTGACAAAATGCTATAGAACTCATTATAATCAGTGATGCTGATGCATCTCTATCTTTCTGTCGTCACTCGGCCCAGCTAATGTCCATCCTGTGCACTGAATGCTCTCTCCTCAACATCATGTGTAGACAAGACCCTTACTGCTCATTGGCTGCAAGTTTGTTTTGCTACTCGGCCCAAATCAGTTTTCTAAAGCGTTTTTGAAAAATCGCTTACCCCACCTTTAATTCTACTTATATGCAACCAAAATTCATCATTTTTTTCTCTCATTTTAAATTCAGGAATTGAATGGGAAGTTAAAAGGCCTTCTCAGTTAATTACTGAATTGTGCACAACCCTGGTTTAAGCACAATTTGGTTTTAAAGTAGATAACCACACTCTGTAAGCTAAGTGACTAATTAATTTCTTAGACTTGCAGCCAAATTTTATAAGTGAATTTGACTAACCATTGCTGTGTGAACAGGACTAGCAACTGTTGCTGTCAGTTAAAATCCCTTTATACAGTATTACTATAACTGCTTCTGTAAGCTTTTCTATGAATGGGACAATTCGAGAGTCACACCTGTTATTAAATACAGATATCAGTCCCATACACTGACTATGGGATTGTAGCCCCTGATCACATATCTCCTTTCTGGTTTATTGTGATAAATAATGTTCTGTTTTGTCTTCTGCAGCCTCAAATACTTCAGCCCATCAGTCACATCCCCAACGAGCCCCTCATCCAGGGAAAACTAGCAAGAATAGTCCCCACCGGGGTCCACAATGATGCCTGCACCGAAGAGGAACTGCCTCCTACGACCTGTCTTACAACCCCCTGCACCGTTCCAATTCTTCCTCCTGCTAAAGACCCTCAAATGGAGTCAAAATCTCTGCCTGACCCAGAAGAGCTGAGCCGGTTGCTTAGCACCCACCTTCGCATACAAGACAACAATGAGAATGACTCATCAGGGGCTGGAGAACAGATTGCGAGACCGACCCTTGAAAGCCATCAACACAAACTCCTGCAGACACCTCATCCCTTGTCCATCTTCAGCCCGCGTGTCCTGCAGCCTCCAAGTCTACACAAATGGGTAACTCTCCCTGCTCTGTTTATAGGGGGCGGTAGTGGGTCAAACCCAAAACCAGGACCCTCTGTGAACCACAAGGCCCAGCAGCTTCTTCCTCCTCCTCCGTCCAGAGGTTTGCCATGCTTCATGGCAGGGAACCACATCATTACTCGCGGCCGTCTATCCCAGCCTTGGCCAGCAGTGGTCGATGCTGACCCACAACACAATGCTTCGGTACAGCTCGGCATATCCACAAGACTTTCAAAGCCAAAGATCCACTAAGGGTCAGCTGCAGCCATAGACACTAATAAGGCTACCTCCCTGAACGCATGATCACACATGCGGCTTGCACTAGATGGTGTTAGTGGCTAGGTAACGTTTTAAGCTAAACAAAGCAGCTAAGCTATCGCATCTAACTATGCAACAAAAAGTAGTGTCACAATCAGCGCATCTGTCGCACAAAACCGCCCTATCACTTCAAACTAAAAGTCATTGATCATAATTCCTTAACCACTAAGAAACCTTTACCACTCACAATTACATCATCCATACAAGATCGTTCTAATCTAGCTGAGCTCCTAATGGATTGACAAACTGAAGGAAAAAATTACGGACAGAAATTCAGTCTGAAAGAGAAGGCAAAAGCAGAGAAAACGAGTACTAGAGAGGTCTTTTTACTAATACTCAACAAACATCAAAGATGCGAGTGCTGTGACATAGACTGCCTGTGGAGATGATTCAAGACACCCTCAGTGTCTGGCTATTTCCCCATGCGGTGTGCCCTCAGGACACCAACTCGTTTAGTGGGTGAAAATGACATTTACATCACCAACCTCCTGAGGTTTAACTGCGAAACGCATATTATTTTCTACGCAGCCTCACAGATCTTGTCTTAAAGAGAGTCATTATGTCATGTGACCCAAGTATCCTTTCCAGTTTCCAAAGGAAAACTTCTCAGTCTGCTGTGATTTGATCTGTTTGTGTATTACTTTATGCCTCACTTCACATCCTTGAATTCTGAATTCACCACATAAACACGAAGAAAACATTGCAAGCTACAAAATCTCAAAACATTTTTTTATCGTTCTCATTCCTAGAGTACGTCTTGTTTCTCAGTGCAGTAGAGTCTTTGACCTATAAACACAGTGTTTTGGCAGGAGGGCGCTGGCACGCCACCGTCAGTGCTTCCTTTATTTTCACCTTGCCTGCAGTCATGATCAGCAGAATTTCAGTTTAATTAGGCTTATGCCTCATGTATTAACAAGGTTCTTTTTCTTTATGAATTATGGCATGCTCAAAGCATAAACTTGCCCCCCACACACATATTAGTTGCATACAAAATTGTTATAATGCTTTTTAATTATTTATACATTAAGATGTTTACCGTTAAAATGCCTTTATTAAGCTGTTCAGTCTGATCCAGTGCTGCAGGAATAACATTTTTGCCTTGTCTTTGGAGCAGAAATACTCTTGCGGTGAAACTTTAAATGTACATAAATTACCCACTTGAAGATTTTTGTCTTGATGTTTCAATAACTTATTTTTGGCTCTGCAAGTAATGATACTTAAGACAGTATCATTTATGGAAAAATTGGACAATTTGTCCTTTGCCATAAGGTAGACTGATTTGATATGAGGTTGCTTTTGTTACCAGTAGGTGTTTTCTAAGGGAGGATGGTTTCCAGTTTGGTTTCCTTAGGGAAATGTTTTGCTCCATTGTGGCTTCATAAATACAACAGCTGCCAGCCTGTTTGTCTGGACAGAATAGATGTTTACTAAAAGAGGAATTCATTTAAGCACTTTAAATTACCCATTTCAACCTCCACACTGGAGAGACTCTGGTCTTTTTGACCTGTTTGATTTGCTGTCATCTTATTGTGTGCAACTAATTTTATTTGGCTGTATGTGTCTTGATGTTCTGTCCCTGTGTGCCCTGGTCCAGTGGACATTGTGAGACTTTAATAAAGTGAAGGAATAAGATTCACACTCTTTGTTGCAATTTCTTTGTGTCAGACATTCATTTGCGTGGATTGCTACAGCTCTTCCTTCTTCAGGGCTGCTTTATGCCACCCTGTTCATTATACTGTAAATCCACACATTGGGAAAGAGTTGTCTAATATCCTCAGAGTCTGCCCCAAACACTGTTTGTGTAAACAGCCTTGACAATATAAAGACAAATAAGAGCTGAACTTCAGCATTTTCGGAAGAAAAGTTTCAGCATTGTTTTTCCAATGCTAAATGGGTATACAGAGAAATTAAATTAAATTCCTTCAGTTTCATGGCGCAATTACACTGAAAACAGTCTGGAGTTAATATTTTAACCAATTATTTTAGTTGAGAAAAGACAAGAAAAGTTTTATATGAAAAAGCTTTGAAATTGTTTTGACGGTATGATGATATTTTGGGGGGCTGCTGCGTTGCCAAACAGTTGCTTGGGTGTCTTTAGGCAGTTCTAGGAGATAGATTAATGGATAGATGGATCCTATAGTATAGATGGGTTGGATAGAGATAGATGGATACAATGGGTTTTATAGATGGCTAGATACTGTAGTAGTAACTGTATATGGATGGATACAATAGATGGGTAGATAGATACTAGATACAGATAGATGGATGCAATATATTGATGGATAGATACTACAGATAGATGGATGGATAAATTGATGGACTACAGATAATCTGCGTTTGTCTTTCTCAAATGTCTTGTTGCTGACAGCCTGTATCCCCTCTCATGGCATTGATGATTGTGTGAAGATTCGTTGAAGGGCAGAGATCCAGGGACGCCATGCTGCTGCCAACGAGTTATTCTCGTTTCTCAGTGCACTGAACTGAAGATGCTGCGTTTTCCAATTCTCTGCAGCAGTTCAGGGCTAAATGCAAGTGGCGTTGATGTACTGCCTGAATATGTGTTCTACAAGGAACAGACTCTGCATTCCCTGCTTGGAAAGTTAGAGGCCTTTATTTTTATTTTTTTTATTTTTATTTTTGACCTTTTCCACTAAATTTTTCAGAATGTTTTTCTTCTTTTGATCTACTAGGAAGTGTCAAAGGGGCCTGCTCAGATGAGATTGGGCTGGTCAGTCAGCCAGTAGAAGCATGTACAGTATGCGTTTGAAGTGTATTTGGCTTTGAAGTTGAGTGTAGGAGGGTTAACTCCAACCAGGACACTGATTGCTATTGTAGCACAGAGCGGGAACTGATTGGATGACTTAACTGGAGTCTTGCTATCCAAAGTGTTGACCTTCTGACCCCATCTGCCCCACCAATCATGTTTTCGAACTGTAATCTAGAGGTCAAGATATTAGATGGGTATCTTTGCAGTGAATGCTGAGTGTCTAATGGTCTCTTGACTGGATAAATTAGGTATGTGTGTGTGTGTGTGTGTGTGTGTGTGTGAGAAAGAGAAAGAAAGAAAGAAAGGGAAGAGAGTTTGGAGAATGCAGTGTGAAAGAAATTAATTACATAATTGTTGTCTGTGATTATCCGGACCTCCAGAGCGTGTTTGTTTTTCTGTTGTTTTTTTCAATCCAAAATCTAAAACAAAGGCATTGACAGTTTTGTAATTTCCTTGTAATAAAACTACAGAAAGAAAGGTTTGGAAAATGGAGAAGAGAAAACAAAAAGGAACAACACTGTTCTTTTCTCTCACTTATTTCTCTTTTTCTCTATAAGAATCTTTTCCAAGCATGGCTGGGTCAGAGGACCACGGAGGTCTGTGCCACAAGCTTCACAATTTAGTCCATAAATGCTTATCAAGGTTAATATCTAATAATATACTAATATAAAAACTATTATGTAAAAAAGACAAAGTTATAAGGATGAAATCTTTAGCAGAATGAGAGTTGTTTCCCCTGCAGCGTTTAATGTAGAAAAATGTGTATCGGCTTGCTTGAATAGGCTGTCCTGTCTTGGAGAAGAGGAACGCTAGAGTAGTATCAAGCACTCAGACATGCCCCACTCGGACCGCTGCTCTTCATCACCATGCAATCACTGGAGTGAGCACTTAAACTCATCTTACAGGCTGCCTAGAGGTCAGACAACACTTACAGCTCTGCATTCAATGCCCATTGAAGAAGGTTTTGCTGTCCTGCAAACACACAAGGAGGTCATCATGAACAAAGTTGTTTAAAGCATTGTGAAGACAGGCCTGTTTCACACAATTTAATTTCAATAGTTTAAAAGGTTTATAACGCTCTTGTGAGCAGTGTGTGCTGTGAGTTTCGGCAGAGCTCCCCCTCCCCATGCATCAGATGCGGAAACATGTTGAAAAATAAGCTATTTACACAATCTTTTGCTGTATAGGGTCTTGTGAGGACATGATAATGGAGTGAGCTGGTCTCCCATTGCTTGAAAACACATCTGTTGGGCTTGATGTTCCTCATGCAGTGACTGACAAAGCAACACTTTCAATGCAGATGATGATAGCAGTTTAGTTACAATTTGGGCTTTGGGTTCTGTTCTGGATTAGTTAATTACCATTTGGATCTTAAAGTTTCTCATGTAAAATGCATTTCAACAATCAAGCTTGTAATAATTCTCAATGGCACACTCTTGATAGACATTTTATAATTTATGGCTGTTATTAAGTGAAATACTTAACGTAGTAACCCAGAAATCACTTTACTTTCTGTTTAGAGATGCAGCTATAATGCTGTCAGTGTGAAAACACAACACAAGCCTGCAGTAGATGTAGAACTGGACACTACCATGGTACATATAAGCCACTTTATCAGTTATTTTTTAGGATCTTTGATAGTTTATTCTCTGAGATATGAGTAATCCTATTTATACATTTTTTTTGTTTATCCAAGTACAATATACAGTTGAACTATGGGGAGATTCCCTGTAGGGATCAGACCTGCAATCTTCTGTTTACCAGCCCTGAGCTTTAACCATTAGTTTGTTCCGGATCTGTCTCTGTGGTCCCACCTCTAAATCTGCTGCATGTATTCAGTGCACAAGTGAACTGCCATCTTGTTAGAAATACACACAGGCATTCAGTCTGTGTGTATTTTTTACAGCAGTGGTTCTCAATTGGTTTGCACATTTTGTATGTATCTGCAAAGCTATATCTTTCGGGCAATTCGTACGTATTTTACGAAGTGGCCAATTCGTATGACCTCACTCGTACGATTTCTGTGACGGTTAAGTTTAGGGGCAAATTTGCCACCTCGTAAAATATGTAAAATTTTTCACAAATCATATGATTTTGTACGAGTGAGGTCGTACAAATTAGCCACCTTGTCAAATATGTATTGCAGAGAGATTGGGTTGGTATCTCTTATCACTTTAGATGTTTGTTCTATTCGACCATAAGTGGACATCATAGGATATTCGGCCATGATTCCAGTTTGATAGGAGCGTATATGTTCCATTCAAAGGGCATTAAAGTGTGCGAGACGTGAATTTAAATTGTATTTATTTACAGAGGTATATTATGTCACACTTCACACTTCTCTAGTAAGTTTCGTCTGTGTGTGAAGATGCTGCAGGCTGTGGCGTAGCGCAAATCCATGAATGAATGTTTCGAAGTGAAATAAACTTCACCAGATTTCCCATGCTCAGGGAGTAGTAAGCAATAAACACTGTGTAGGGACCCTGTCAATCGGAACACAGTTCATGCATGGAGCTCTCTTCTAACGAGCTAAGGATCTGAGTCAGATGTGTTAAATAAGAGAGACATGCAAAATATGCAGAGCGGTGGTTCATGAGGACTAGAATTGAGAACCACAGTCTTACAGGATGGCAGTATGCCAGATGCCTTTGTTTTGTGGATTAGTAACCTGTGCAATTCTAGACACATCAGTGCACTCAATGTTTGAAGTATGTTGTACATGCAGCTGAGTGCTTTTTATCATTATGATTTCCGTGTCTTTAGGAGTTCATGACTTGGATTTTAGAAGAAAAGTTCTCAACGGGTGGGTTGCTTTCAAAAAATGGGACAAGGAAAAACACATATATGCAAATGCAAATAATAATATGGCAATTATTTTGAACCAAGTAATCACGCATAGTTAGGAAGGGAAAATAAATAGGCTTACTTAAGTGTAAAAATGAGATAAAAAATAAGACATAAAAATTTAAGTTATTTAAATAGTTTTTTTTCAAGTGAAATAAAATATGACCCAGACTACATGGAATACTGAATTACTTGCAAGGAGGGGCAGCCACAAATTGCTTTGAGCAGTGAATTTTTGGCTGCTAAGAGCATGAAACCATCAAAATTCAAGAGACATTTAGAAACCAAATTTAGGCAAAACAAAACCAGTTAATAAATACTGATCTAGTACACTAAACATTCAGAAA